GGAGATGGAGATAAGATTCTTATGATGCAATAGTAATTGTTATCATGACTAACTGTGACTGTCTCAATTGTAAAGGTAGAAGTTTATTAACAAAAACGGGGGAGTGGTTAATCTTACAGTCCAGACACAGAGGACCCTACGACAATCAAGGAAGAAGAGCACAAGCAGAATGTGGGACCCTATCCAGTAAAGCAGTGATACCGGAGATGGAGGCAGAGATGGGGACATGGAGAGACAGACGGAGCAGCTGAGGACTCTAGAATCATGGAAAGAGAGGGACTGGGAGCTGGTGGCCAGGAGGCAGGCTTGCAAATGTGCCCTGTAGTGGTTTAAATTATTATATATGACTGAATGTTTTTTTTTTAAAAAGTGCTAAAATGAATAGAGAGAAATACTGTTAACTGATGGTATGCATGGAAAGGATTACAATCATTGTAATGAAAAAAATATATGATTTGTTCAATGTAAAACTGATGATCTGCCCTGTAAACTTTCACTCAATTCACAATAAATACTTTTTAATTTAAAAAAAAAAGTGTGTGGTTAAAATAATTTTTAAAAATAGCTTTATCAAAAAAAAGTGTGTGGTTAAAATAATTTTTAAAAATAGCTTTATCAAAAAAATGGTTTCTTTAAACAACCAAAATTCATCATGCTCATGCTCAGACATAACTACTACAACATTCACCATTCTAAAATTAACAACAACCACAGTATTCACTTAAATTACATTATTCCAGGAGTCCTGTCTGTCTCTTCTGATCTATATCATTCTAGTATATTAATGACCTGAATCATATCCAAATAAAAAAACAAGAGAAGAATCAGTCTCCTATGAAGATCCTAAAGTGGTACCTAAGATTGCCACCAATCTGGTAACAAACCAGACATTCTGAAACTTAAGGCCTTCATCAAATGTCTAATAAAAGGCTATCTGCCGTCAAGTGGAATTTGACTCATGGAGACCCCATGTGTATCAGAGTGGAACTGTGTTCCTACAGGGTTTTCAACAGCTGATTTATCTGAAGTAGATTGCCAGGTCTTTCTTTCAAGGCACCTGTGGGTGGGCATGAACCACCAGGATTTCAGTTAGCAGCCAAGCTAACCATTTGCACCACCCATGGAGTTCAAACGCCTGATACAACTCATTAAAGCAGGGATTCAACAGTAGCAGCCTCATTCACTACATGTCTCAAGTTCCTATACTCTTTGACCCACTCTGAGAGCCACCTCTGGCCCAGCCTTCCAAATGCTGGTTCCACTGTAGGCAGGAAAGAAAAAAATGAAAGAGAGTCACACAGGGATTGGAGGAGGGGTAAAAGGAAACTAGTATTCTGATTCTTACAGATTACTTTCAAACTCTTGTCCTAGCACACACTTATTTCTTTCATAGCACACACTCTTAAAAAGAGTTCGGCACTGAACCTTTTAGTCCTATTTAGATGAAATAATCTGAGAAGCTGGGTTCTATGAAGAAAATCGTGGCATCAGGATTGGAGGAAGACTCATTAACAACCTGCGACATGCAGATGATACAACCTTGCTTGCTGAAAGTGAAGAGGACTTAA